CGTGCGTGTCGCGTGCGTGCGTGCGTGTGTGTGTGTGTGTGTGTGTGTGTGTGCGTGCGTGCGTGCGTGTGTGTGCCGTGAAATTTCCACCATACAAGAGCCTCTTTTGTGCCTTCAGGTATAACGGGCCTCAAGTCGCCTCACCAAGGACCTATTCCAGCTCCTTGCTGAAGCGACCCCCAAAGCAACGGTACGCCGCGCCAGCCTCCCGTAGTGGGATGAGGGGTGTCCCGTCATGCTTAGGGCGCTCATCAGCTGGAGCTGAAGTGGTGAGTGACGCGATCGTGGTGTAAAAATAGCCACTGTTGCTAAGCGTTCCCAAGCTCAGGGACAAACCAACACGCAACAAACAGGGGGACCAATCGTGCGCCAAGATACTTCATACAAGAAATATTTAAAGCGCCGCAGATGGTGGTGTATCAAAATGCATGTTTGTATTGCAGTCATCAATATGAAACCAAAGGGGAGGGGGCTGCCGGCATACAAAGGCAATAAAAGATCGTTGCACAGTAAGCTATTTGCATTTGGACACAGCCGTAAAAAAAAATGAGATTTGAATTCCGTGGTTTTAGACGTGGGAAGAGTGGGATGATTGAAAATCTCTAACTGCGTTGTTTTTAATCATTGGAGTCTTCGTTTCTGGTACAGACTATTGGTGGGCACTTCCCAACGCTCTAAATTACCCATAATACCAAGAAATCAATCGCCAGCCTCGGTCTATAAAGCTGGCCAACTTAGCCTCTACCAGGCCTCTTGGCGGTCGGAAGTACAGATTTGTCCACCAAAGTTTCTATCGATCCATGGCGGGCGCTATATACATCTTTCCAGCAATCCACGGAGTCTGATAGAGACTAGCGTCGAGCGATAGGTATCTATAAAGCTATCTTGTACCTGTTGCAATGGGTACATGAACAGCTCCGAATTTTGAAGAATCAGGACTCGATGGAAGTTTTGAAATCAACAGTTTATGCCCTTCGACCTCCTAGTGTCAGATGAAAGGCTTCTCTACAGCCACCAAATCTTTAATCAGGGGAACCTGTCTTATGTCGTGAATTATGTCACATTTATGGCAGTAACTTGATTTGCGTCTGACCTGAACTTTAAGAAAATAGTATTATAACCGAAAGCGTAATTTCGACACAATCGAAAATCAGTAATAACCGCGGCAGGAGATGACTTTTTTGATGACATCAGCAGGAATGAACTTTTCAACTGCTATCGATCGAGATGTTTAATCTGTCTTTTCAATCAGACGATTTAATCAACTGTCTGGGAGAAGTTTGAATGGAAGTGTTGGTAGATGATAGATCCGGCTCCGGTTGTTTCAATTATGCTATATTCAGGACGGAAAAACAATTCTTAATCAAGGCAGGAAATGAAAGTTTAGACGGGGCTAAGCTGCTCATTACCCGTCAGTGTTAGGATATGAAGTTGCGGTTTGCAGGATATGCAGAGAAAGGCGCGTAAAGTTATCGTCTGTTCAAAAGGCTACACAAACATTGTCGCAGGAATAAACCAGCGGATCACTGGAAGTTGGGGACCAAATGTAATCAGGCGTTAAGCAGGAGAAAGCGAAATTATGCCATCTGCTGGAAGATGTAGAGGGTGTACTTGCCTCTGTTTCTTCACACATAGGCACCTTTCATTGAATTAAATTGAATAAAAAAATTCACACACTTCGACATATGCACAACTATAGTGATAGTCACATTCCACTTCCACTGTATGTAAAGTCCTCTTCTCGACAACACTTTCTTGGATATAAATTCGACAGGAACCCGGTAGTACTACAATGGTAAAACAAAGAAGATGACGGTAGTCATGCTGTGGAAGTTTGACACACGCCAAATTCTCTCGTGTCTGCCCAAAGTCGTTCCAGTGTCTGTACATACGAAGCTAACGCGAGGTTTTCTCCTTGCTAAACCCGTCGTGAGCCTGCTGGACACACCTGGACACTCTCCGCTACTCCGCACATGGCACAACAAAAGACGTTATCACGCAATCTAACAATAGTTAGAAGTTTTCTAACGACCCAACAGAAACTTAAAGGGGAGTGGCTGATCTCGCCCGGCTAGAAGGGGTGAAAGAGTGAGTGATTGTTCGTGTTTTAAGGCGATTTGGAGATCGCCTGGCCGTAACCCCTGACCTGGAGAATGTGCTCGTGTGTGACACTACGGCTAATGGCATCTTTGATTTGCTTTACTTCGATTGACGGTTCAGGACCTTCTCCCCGAGTGTCCAATTTTCTTTGGAATCCAAATACTCGATGTTTGCAAAGCCTATTCCGTAATCCTCACGGGTCCTCCCAGGTCATCTAAATTTCTGAAGATTAGACAATCAGACGATTGTCCACGATACAATCGTAAAGGACTCCTCAATAATCTTCTTAAAGACAATAGAGGTCATCTCATATGATAGAAAAACACCTCCAAGTGATCTTGTAGAGTCATTAGTCACTTCTAATAGTTTTCAGAAACTTCATGATATGATTTGGAATAGTTACAGAAAGTTACGCTTAATCCATCATGTTCACCCTTGCCTTATGCACACATGTACTCGTACACAGATGATATTAAGGAAGTTTAAACCTTGATCCGGCGATCCTACATATATAATCCATGAGACTGATCAAACATGAGTTGTGTATCACGTGCCTTAAAACATAAACCACGTAAATTTATGGAAACATAAACTTATAATTGTTTATATTCCGCGCCCACACGCCGTGAAATACAACCTGGTTTCTACCCTCCGCCTGGCGCTGAAGTCATGGACGACATGATCTAAAAATAAGATAATTACTTATACGTACATCAGTGATAAACATCCAGTGTTATACGAATGACTGGGCTTACATCTAACATTTGCAGCGACATTTGTTACATTGCTAACATTTACAGCAACATTTATTCCAAGCATTGATAACCTATTGAACATGATCCTTTGAACATACATAATCTCCCAGAGTACTCCTTTTCGTGCCGGAAGGGGCGGGACTAGAACGACCTTAAAGGTAGTTAGCGCCTTTACTAACTACCGCCTTCTAATCACCAACAACGGCCTCGTTCTTCGTTTGTCTAAGTCAATTCCGTCTCGCGTAGATCTACTCTTCAGTCTTAGCTTTCTGAACTTATAGGTTTTTTTGTTGTCCTGACCAGATGAAAGGTTAGTATCACTGCAAACGTGCAGCATTACGTGCCTGGATGCGTGCAGCTCAGTTTAGATTGAACTGTATCAAAGTGACTAACTTGATCAGTTTGGCAGCAGTCGCAGTGCAGATTATTATGACAACAGATGATATCCGACCGCGCTCTCGCCAAATTGCCTTTCGCAACCGGTACTTGATGATGTATTGGCT